TGATCATATTGTCATGTATTTTTCTACAAATTTTATTACCTTAAAGGGCATTATTGTTGTACTAAGCAGACAAAAATAGATTTATTCCTTTTTAACCCTTACTGATGCTCTTTATTCCTTCTTGCAAAAATATGCATTCATCTGAAAAATTTCCTTTTGTCCAGAGTGTTCCCTTGTGTTGCTCTTAGTGGTAATATGTGGCAGTATATTCTTTCCGTTTTTGTTTATCTAGATAAATCTTTATTTTGCCCTATGTATACCCATATTTTCACTGGGGATAGAATTCTAGTTTTCAGAATTGTGAAGATTTCCATTATTTGCATTTCCTTTATTGGTTCCATGATTATTTTCTCCTGCAAAGTCATCTGTGGTCTTGTTGCTCTTTTGTGGATGATAAGTCCTTTCCATCCCCACCACCCACCCGCTGCCTGGTTTTGAGATTTTCTTTTTGTCTTTGAATATTTGACTATTTTTCTGTGAGTACCTAGCATTGGTTTTCTTTGTGTTTGTCTTGCTTGGGGTTTATAGAGATTGCTAAATCTTTGGCTTGATGTTTTTCATAAATTTCAGAAAATCCCCAATTGACATCTCTTCAGATATTTATTCTGCCTAATTTCCTCTGTCTTTTCACTTTGAAACTTAAATTACATGCTTGTTGGATATTTTCCCCATGTCCTCTAATGTCTCTTATATGCTCTTCTTTATTTTTCCACTCTTTATTTTTTCCTTTCAGATCTTCAGTCTGTTTATTTTCTGGTGATCTAGCTTCCAGCTTACGATTCTTCTCTTTAGTTGTGTTTAATCTTCTGTTAAATCCATCTGTTGAATTCTTTGTTGTTTAACTTTTAGTTCTAGAATTTTCACTTGATTCCTTTTTAATTGATTGTGATTTGTGATGAAATTCAGCATCTTTTATTTTCCTGAACAAATTAGTCATCATTATTCTAGAGCCTGTGTTTGATAATTCTAAAGTCTGGATAAAGTGTGGGTCTCTCTCTGTTGTATTTTTAATTGGATTTTAGTCATTTGATCTCATTTCCTGCCATACCTAGTAATTGTGGTTTGGGTGTTGGACATTATGTATGAAAAATTGTGAAGCCTGTGGGATAATTTTGTCTTCCAGAGAGGATTTACTTTCTTTGTTAGACATAGAATACTGGCAGATCATCTTGATCTGCTAGGAATAGAAATTGGTGGAGAGTAAATGATCTCAACGAAAAGTTAGCTGCATTTACCAGGGCCACTTTTTCTTGGCAAGCCTAATTTTTGTCTCTCTAGCACCATGATAAGTACCAAAATCTATGCTTAGTTTTTCAGCTGATTTGAGACTAATTTTTTGCTTATTTCTCATCCTCTTGTCCTTTATATGTGCAGCTCAGACACAATTATATTAACTCAAGAGGAAGCTGGGTGCAGATTATTGGTCTCATTTCTTTCTGGTTTCCTTTTCCAGGATTTCAGACTCTCAGTTCTAGCTGCTTTGGTAGCCCCAATTCTGGTATCTCCCAATTCAGTGAAACTTCTTTCAGCTCTAAAGCATTACTTTTTGTTTGACTTCTATGCAGAACAGCCAATGCCCTAAGGGGAAAATTAGCACCTCAGTGGACTTTTCTGCTCTCTGAATATTGACTCTTCAAGTTCTGGCTGTATTTGTTTCTCTGATATGCCTTCAAAAACTTTTTTTTTTTTAATCCAACTTTTATAGTTGTTTTTAGCAGAAGGATTGGTCTAATGCAAGTTCTTCTTTCATGGCCTGAAGTAGAAGTGTCTCTCATCTGATTTCACACTATGTCATGAATTAAGTAGAGATGTGCATAAGCTTTGTTATGTGCATAGACTTTGAAATTTGAATCCCAGCTGGTCACTGACCAATATGTGAGAACTTGGATAAGCTTAACCTTTTTGACCTTTTATTTCCTCATCTTTTAATCAATATGTGAGAAATGAAGTTGAAGAGACCTTTGAAGATCGTTTAATTCCACTTAATTAAACTATTTCAGAGTACAGTAAAAGGAAAACTTCTGAATTCATTATATGAAGCTGGTATCATTTTAATTCCCAAGTCTGAGGAAAAACGGCACCTAAAAATAATAGAGCAATCTCATTTATGAATATTAATGCAGAAAATATATTTAAAATAATAACAAACAGAATCCGTCAATATTTTTTAAGAAGTGCATCATGATTAAGAAATGCTTATTCCAGAAATACAGAGATAGGTGAATACCATGAATTCTACTAGAGCTAAGGAGAAAAAGAATCATGATAATCTCTCTAAATTCAGACAAAGTATTTGCTAAAATTCAACACACATTTTATTTTTTATTCAACAAATATGCATTGAGCAGCTGCTCTCTTATAGCACTGAGGATAGCACTGAAGATGCAAGAATGAAGAAGATACTGGCGCCATCCCAACTCACATTCCAGTGGAGGGAAACAGTCAATAAATAAACAAGTAAAAGGACAGACTAGAACATCCATTTATTTCAAAGACTCAATAAAATGTGCATGGATTTCATTAATGTGATAAACATACCTTGGGCCAAAAGCCAGCATTTTGTTTCCCTTTAATAGGGAAACACTAAAGTTTTCTTCTTAAAGTCAGAAATAAGACCATATGCCCATGGACACACCAAATTTCCACAACATTTAACATTAGATTGAGGAATTAGCTGAAGCAATAAGACAAGAGGAAGAGATGAGAGACCTAAGAATTAGAAAGAAAGAGATAAAATCATAGCTATTTGAAGATTACATCAGTATATAAAAGGAAACCCCCAAAGAATCAATGGAATAACTATTACAAACAGTAAGAAATTTAGTCAAGTGGCTGGTTCAAAATCCATATATAAAAATCATTTGCACTCATACATACAAATAAAAAGCAGTTAGAAGATAAAATGAAAGAGAAATTCTATTTATGATAACAAAAGATATACAAAAAGGAAATATTCAGAATACATACAGGAAAATTATAAAATACTCTTGAAAGAAATAAAAGTAGACTTGAACAAATGATGAAAAATACCATGTTGTTAGGTGAGAAGATACAATGTCAGCTTTCCTAAATTTCTAAGTTTTGTACAGTTGCAATAAGACATCCCTAAAGTCTTCTTCTTGAGGTGTGCAAGTTGCTACGCTGCTTATGAATTTCCCCTGCTCCAAAAATACTAGTTGTTTCCATGGATGTGGTACCAGCCCCTGCAGCAGAGAGCTGAGGAGCAGTGTGGGAGGGGCTGGCCTTGCAGCTTACATAGCTCTCATAACACTGAGTGCTCTCCATGGTCCCTCTTCTGAGCCCTGACCTGGTGAGTACCCCTTCAGGAGCCAGCATTCTAGAAGCTCATTTGGTTAACTGTGCTGTGCTGATGGGCTGCAGGCCTATAGCATGTGTCTTCCATTGGTTTCCACTTGGGCTTTTGACTCATTACAGGTGGCAGTCAGAGAATGTAATTTGGGGAAGGGGGATGCACTTTTAAGTACCTCCTCAGTTTCATCCCTCATATTGCCTCTGCTTTCTGACCCCAAAGGATACTAGACAAGAATACTAAGGTGTGAAAGACAATGCCATTTGCTACAAAAGTGGTGGTGCTGAATGGTCTTCTTTTTCATCATGGCAAGAAGTTGGCCCAAGTTAGGTATTTTATTTTCTCCTCTTTGGTTGTTAGCATGGCTTTTTCAACTTTTTCTCAGTATTAGACTTTGTATCCTAAAGTGGTTATTTATGATGAATCGTAGGTACTTTTCACTCGTTGTGAAACCACAGTATATGTTTCCAGCCTTTCCCTGCTATTACTTCTCACTGGGCCTTTTCCTGCTTCCTGCGCATACCCTGTACTCTCTCCTCACCCTGCCTTTTCTTAAGCCTTTCTCTCTTCCTGGTGTACGCTCCCTCCCTTACTCCTGTCTGAAAGCCTGCCCATTCTTCAGTGCTATTTCAGAGGTTCTTTTAAAAACCCTTTTCTTTATGTATGTATACTGGTATTTTTCAAGGTAAAACTACCCCTTTACTTCTCAGTAATTTGTGTTTCTTCTGTAGCCTCCTGTTCAACTATGAATGTTTTCTTTTTTCTTTTTTTCAGCTATGAATATTTTCAATGTAGGAATTCTGTCTGCTTTGCTTATATAACTTCTCAAACACTTTGCTTATTGCCCTGCACAAGCAGGAAGATGGAATTGAATTAAAAAAAAAAAATACCCAAGGGCTTAATTTAGTCCAATGGCAGGGACTGGCTGTCCAAATTGTCTGTAAGATCCCACCCTTTAGAAACTACTGAGTTGAGTACAGTCAATCACCAGATCATGCCAATGACCCACTCAGGAGCAATGGTGGTCTTCATTATGGCACCACAAATCATAACCTGCTGCAGGTCAGATAATTCTGACTCCTGACTGCTTGTGTTTTTTCCAAGCACTATAGCACCTACAGTCTAGGTGGAAGATGTGGTATCAGTCGGGGCCAGGGTCTTCCTTAACACTTGGTACCAGTCCAGATTCCACATGAGGAAGACCATGAGAGTTGTCTCTGTTCATTAAAAACTGAATGATTGGGGCACCTGGGTGGCACAGTCATTGAAGTGTCCGACTCTTGATTTCGGCTCAGGTCATGATCTCAGGGTTGTGAGATTGAGTCCCGAGTCAGGCTCCCTACCAGGCATGGAGCCTGCTTAAGATTCTCTTTCTCCCTTTCCCTCTGGCCCTCCCCACCTCACTCTCTTAAAAAAAAAAAAAAAAAACAACAAAAAACTTGAATGATTAATAATATATTTTTTGATTAAGCCCCCAAAGCGACAAGTTTTTTTATCTTTACTGGTGTGTGTGTGTGTGTGTGTGTGTGTGTGTGTTGGGCCTTTAGTAGACCCAACATTGCTGAATGTCATATTCTTATGAAAGTGTTCATCTTTTTTGTGAATAAATGGCTAGCAGAGGTGAGATACTTGCAAGTATCTGTACATATGAATTATTCTTCAAAAACCCAAAGTCTTTCTTTTCTTGCAGGAGTCCAGAAGCTTTGAAGTCACAAGAAGAGAAGGTAGGGAAAATGCGTTCATATCCATTTCGTTCTCAGTGTTGACATTTTGGAAGTAGTTTGTTGAAGCTAAGATGAACTTCAGACTGTAGGCAGCCTTTTCTTTGAAATTTCATGTGGCCTTTTCTGGGTGCTGACTATTTGGTACTTGCCTCGAAGGACTGTAAGAATTGAAAGCTAGGACTGCTTGAGAGAACTATGTCTTCTACTTTTGACTACCCGAAGTGGGGTCTGGGGACCTCACTTCTTCATGATCATGTTTGTGGTCTTGAGAGAAGCCTCATTTATTAGTGGAGTTTGAAGTAATTACTTGGTTTCATCCAGCAAAAACAACATCAATAAAAAATGGTTTATGGTTTGAAGTATTTCAATAACTGGGAGAAGATGCCACTGTGAAAAATATTTGTGATTAGATTTTTACAGCTTTGGCTAAGTTGAAATAGAAATAACCAGTTAATGTCCCTTTTGCAACAATTCCATTATGTTCATTTTCCCCGCTGGTTCCTCTAGCACGTTTGTTTTTCGGTTTCTGAGGTAAGTATGCATGGGTGGCGATTTCTGAAACCTTTCCTTAGAAATTGAAGTTTCCCTTACTTTCAGCAATACCTACTGTCGAATAAGATGTCTTTTCTTTGGTTTGGGGATTCTTTGCGAATCATCTCTTTATTGCAGGACTAGGAGGAGGAAGTCGGGAATCAAAGTGAGTTCTTGGTCTAGGGTCCGGCCTTTGGTTTCAGCCTTAATGACAAACTTCTCTGTAGCGTCGTCTCCAGAAAGAGTGGTGATCTAAAGGTGTGAGCAAATTCCACATTGACCTCTAAATGCAATACATCCTTGGCTCCTGATTAATTCTTCTTTTAAGCACTGCAATGAAAGACCTAGAGTAGCCATGTTATCAAATTATGTTTCTAGAGCTTGGAGACCTAAGTCTTGCATACTGCTTGTATTGCTAAACCAATCCCCTTGGTTGTTTGCTGCTACCCATGGGGCTGAAACCCTGGTTTCAGAGGAGCTGGGTATCTGGCTTTAGGATAAACTCTGTGGTTTCCATTCCCATTTGCCATTGTCTCTGGTTTTGGGCTCAGCGTCTCCTGAACTGCATCTGTAGGGTAAGCTGCATTGTGTCGATTTCAAAACCAAATGAAATTGGATGGATATGGGTAGAGCCAGGAGGCCATGTTTCTTATTGATGACCGTGTAAATTGGAAAGAAATAGCCTTAAGCAGAAAAGTCAGCATGAAACTTGGTTTTGAGTATTATTTAATTCATGTCAGTAGCCCCGAGAATGAATATTTAGAATTAATTTGCGTTATGGAATCATATATAAACCTAACCTATGGAATCACATATAAACCTATGGAAAGGTCTCTAAATAGTAAGGCTGGGGTCTGAGAGAATCATGTGTATTTTTGCTCAGAGACCTTAAAAGGCTGGATTGGACCTCCGGCTCCAAATCCACTGAAGACTGACATTGTTGGAGGATGAGCAAAGGTGTGGTTGAGTTATGCTCTGCTCACCCATAACCTTCTCCTCTTTGGAAAAAGCAGCTCTCACAACTGGCTGACTGGGAGTGCATGCTTTGAGTTTGTACCAGCAAATTTGTGCTGACAGCCCATAAACTTTTTCCCCCCGCATTGTGAACTGATGTCTTTCTTGCTTATTTCTGTCAAAGTTGAGTGTTTGAGAGTTCCTGAAATAGCTTAGTGCCTTAATGTCAGTGCTTATAACATGGCAAGAAGGAAGGAAGGAGGAGTGGGACCTTACAGGTTGGTTCCAAGTATTTTCAGGCCTGAGAATTCACTTGCTTGAATGGCCAGGTTGTTAATCTTCTCCAGAAGAGTGTACAAGTGTAAAAATAATAGAAATGCTCTAAATATTTTAATAAACGATTATTCCTACAGACAAAAATAAGACATTATTGTCTCTCAACGAACACTTAGGGTTATTTTACAGTTGGAAATGAAAGAGGAGCAAATAAGTAATACTGAATTTTTCTGCTCAGTTTACCAGGCCCAGGAGATTTTGGAGAGGTCTGGAGGAGGTAGCCTCTGGGTCACACAATCCAAGATGTCTTCCTGTTTTTTGTTTTCATACTACATCTGACTGAGGAGTATCTTCTGTATCCCAGGTTCAGTGGTACAAATGGATGACCAGCCACAAGTTCATACTACGTGACTTTTGGAAAGTGTTGACTAAGTCTGTGAAGTGAGAAGTGAGAGGGACTAAAATTAACAGTGGGAATGGAGTCCAGGATAAATCACAGTGGGGTTGGAGATTGTAAGGGTGACTCAAATGTACTCTGTGCCTTGGACCTGCTCTCTGCCTTATTTCCAGCCTTGGATCTAGTTTTGTCATGATTCGCAGATTGTGGCCCACTTTCTTGTCCCTAGCTTTAAATCATACTGTTCATGTACCCTGAATGCTCTTTGTCCCTAATCTTTATTAAATGCCACCTCTCCCTCATACCTCCCAATTCTTTCTTAACGTGTTTAGCTTACCCTACCTTATTTTGGAGTTAAGGCATCCTATCAGGTAATTTCCTAAGAACAGAGAACCTCCCCTCATTCATTCCAGATTCTTCATGGCCCTAGTCCAAGGCTCTAGTTGCTCAACAATTGTTTTCTGAATTGAGTGCAAGCTACGCATTGCTAAATGTGGTTTGTCTTTTTACTCTGATTCTGTTCCAGTGACAGACAAGTGAGGCACTGAGTGCCTTGGCTCTAGAAAGGCACTTTTTAAGGAGTGTTCTGTGGATATCCATTGGATATTCCTAACTGATCGAAGTGCTCCATGTTCAGAGAAGCTTCATGTGTCCCCCCAAAAGATATGTTGATATCCCAACGCAGAACCTGTGAATGTGACCTTATTTGGAAATCATGTCTTGGCAGATGTGTAATCAAGTTAAGATGAGATTATCCAGGTTTTTAGGAGGGGCTGTAATCCAATAAGTAATAGCAGAAGAGGAGAACACAGGAGAGCGGAGAGCGCCCTGTGATGATGGAGTAGAGAGGGGAGTGATGGATCTATGAGCCAGGGAATCCCAGCATCCCTGGCAACCACCAGAAGCTAGGAAGAATACTCTAAAGCCCTCAGAGGGAGCATGGCTTTGCCAACAGCTTGATTTCTGACCTCTGACCTCTGACCTCCAGAACTGTGAGAAAATAAATTTCTCTTGTTTTAAACCACCCAGTTTGTGGAACTTTATTGTAGCAGCCCTAGGAAAATGATACACTTGGCCGATGCTGGACTCAATATTGAGCTAGTTGTTGAGACTTTTACTGCAGAACCCCTTAGACCTTCAAGATGCTAAATATGACTCTCAAAAGGGGGTGTAATATGCAGCATTTTCCAAATTTAGTTTCCCATGGCATCTTAATTTTGTTGTGTTTGATCATCTCGAGGCTGGCATTCCATGCAGTGTCCTTTGCAAGTCCTGCTCTAGAGAGTTCAGGCAGAGGGAGTGCTCCCTCAGTGCTCAGGATGAGCCTATGACTCGGTACCAGTAACTTCCAAGGGCTTTGCATGGACAGAATGGTGATGTGGTGATAATGAGAATAACTTCTCAGTTCTCGAGTTTTCAGAGAGCATTTACATTCTTTCCCTCCTGTGACCCTCAGCAACCCATGACAGGAGGAGAGCAGAGAGCACCTTACACATGAGACTCCTTCTTTCCTTCCCATGCTGATTTGTGGGAACAAGGACTCCCTCTGGACCAATGTCCCTTTCGTGCACTGATCCTCTCTTGTGTACGTTCTTCTGCACGTTCATGCCCACTGCCAAGGCTAGAGAGCTAAGAGGGACTCTTGGAAGAAAACTGTCTAGGGGTCATTTGATTCCAAGTTAGATTAGGGCTAGGGCTCTCAGGGGAACCTGGAGGGAAATATGTCATACCAGTAGGTGTGGCAGGACTGCAGGACTAGTAGGAAGCCTTCTGGGAGGGGCACGTGCCTGCCCGGCTGACCAAGCCCTTCTTCCCTCAGTGCAGTCCTATGTTGTCCTTGTGCCCTGGGGGCCACTTGTGCTAGCTGCGTGGGGAAGGAGAGATGGTTGCATCTTCATCTGCTTTCCATTGCATGCGTTTTTATACCTCCCTCTAGACATCTTCAATTTAATTTCAACTTTTTCTAAGGCTTCAGCCAAAGATGCCAACCTCACCTCTCCAAGACACTCCCGTGTCCACTCTGAGGGCTGGTGCTGATTGTGGCTGCCAGAATTCATCTGCTCAAACCAGTCCTTTTCTCTAACTGATTCCATCACCCTGAATTACAGCCATGAGAGAACACTTGAGTGAGCTGAGCAAGTGGCCAGGATAATTCAGCCCTTGTCAGCCATCTCTTAGGAACATGGGGTGCGCTAGAAACTATTCCAGATGTCTGCGATTGCGTTATGATTAGAGGCTGTGAGTTTTGGGGTGGGTACCGATGTCCTATTGCATGATCCACCCTCCCAGGGATGGCTCACTCACATGTTCTAGTCCAGACCAGCCTGGCCTGGCTTCTGGCAGGATGTGAGGGAGACCTGAGAGCGGGAATGCTGCTGTCTTCCCAGAAAAAGAATGAGGGAGTGACAGTCACACAGCCAGGGTAGCTCTGACTCCTTAGCAAACCTACTAAACAAACACAACCTGCCAGTCCCCCGCGGTGTGACTAGAGCCTCCCTTTCTGAAAACCTTTGGAATTAGCCCTTAATTGGCAGCTGCCTCTCATAGCCCCTTTATAGTTCTCTGCATCTGGGTGAACTTCGGCTATCAAGAATTGCATTCTATTTACCATTAATTCTGATTTTGTTTAGCAGATGTTTTCTGGCTCTCTCAGTTGCCTGCATAATCTGTCTTGGTATAATGTGAAGTGGCTGACTCCCTTCCATAAAACAGATGAATAAACTCTTAGCTTCTTTTGAGGTAACTTCTTTAATGGCTGCAGATGCAGGGAATTTAGAAGGGAGCCATCCAAATTTGGCAGTGCCTGGGGTAATAGGTCCTTTTCAAATCAAGACTGCCATCT